ACCTAAAAAAGCTGGAAAAAAGTGGGGAGCTTTTAGACCCACAAAAAAATGGAGTCAACTGTAGCTTCTTGGTATCCGCATTTTTTTTCAGATAGACTCTGTTTGTGGGCAGTGAGCAGAGGCAGGGCTCCTTTAAGAGAAGACTTCCTGACTCAGCATTAGCAGCAAAAACCATATGGCTTCTTTAAAAGAAGGTTTCCTGGTTCTCACTGGTAGCATGAACTCTGGCTCTTTCAGGAGGTCTACACTTAAATAGGGTTTGTGAGCCATGTGCTACTAGCTGCTTAATGGTGACATAGACCCACTGTATCCCTGAAGCTGGGGCAGTAAGCATGGCTAGCAGAGGCAGGGAACATGGCTCTGCCATGTTGGGTAGAGCCAATAGGCAGGGCCATAAAGTTGGTCCTAGATATGTCTGCATAGCATTTAGGTTTAAAAAAAAAAAAAGGCGCTCCTGATCATAAAATGATAACAGATACATAGTAAAGACAGATTCAGGCAAAAATAAACCTCTAAACTGGTAACAGTATGTTTAAAAATGTACATAGGCTTGAGAGAGAGGAAAGGGGGTATAGACAGTTATAAAAAGACAGTCATAGATTAAAAGAGTAAAGATAATAAAATAAATATTAAAAAGTAATAGAGTAGAAAAATAAGCCATGTAAAGATGAAAATACACAAAGAATCTGGATTGTGTATATTATTGTGTTTTCTTTAAATTTTTGACTATTAATGAGCTAAGTACAGAGAGACATTTCATTGTACAGGCTGCTAAACTAAACTAACATATATATATATATATACATATATATATATATATATATTTTAAATGTATCTTGACTTCAAAATTTGAGTGTAAAAATATGTTACTTTGGAAAAGAGGTTCTGCTTTTGTTTCCACAGAGGATAAGAACCTGGTGGATTCCATCCAGGCTAATGTGGTTTGATGAAATAAGACACCCCCTCCCCCCAATGAAAGACCTCCTTAGTTTTCTGATAGTTTTCCTAAGTTACGATAAAAGATAAAGAAGATATGAAACTTTAGACTCACAAAGATAAAATAGATAATAGTGTATTTTCTTTAATTTTGCTAGATATGAACAGACTAAATATTGTAACTGTAATTTTTGCTTGATACCTATTTTGTTATATGTAATTTTACTATGTTAAAGTTAAAACCTTCCTTTTCATTTAGACAGAAAAGGGGAGATGATATGGGATTCCCCTCTGTATTTGTGAATGTTTTATTACCATTGATTAATAAAGAAGCTGTTTTGGCCAATGGCTTAGCAGAGTAAAGCCAGGCAGGAAATCAGAACACAGATATAGAGTAGGCTGAGTCAAGAAGATGCCATATAGCCAAAGGAGAAAGACGTCTAGAACCTGGTAAGCCACGGCCACATGGCAATACACAAGTTAACAGAAATGAGTTAATTTAAGATGTAAGACCTTGCTAGAAATACATCTGAGTCATCGATCAAACAGTGTTGTAAATTAATATAGTTTCTGTGTGATTCTTTGGGTCTGGGTGGCTGGGAAATCAATGAGCAGTCTCTGCTTATATTATGTCTCTATTAAACATCTATTTAATTGGTGCTGTTGTTCTGATCAGAGAAAGGGGGAGCGAATGTCTTATCTAACATTGCTCTTTTCTTCAGTTCACATTTCTATTTATCCATTTATATTTTTTCTCAGATAGATATTTTTAAGCATTTCTAACAAACATATTACATTAGACTTCCATTTATCTACAAGGTAAGCATTCCAAAATTCAGGGGATCCAAAACTCTTTCCAGACCACTGCACACATGTAATATGTGCACGTGCACACACACACGCACACACATACACACACACACAAGCAAAACATTAATAGACAAAAAAAGGTTTTCTTAACTAGGCAAAATATTTTGTTTCTAATTTGAAATTCATTTTATCTTAATTCCTCGTAAGCTGGGAAAGCAAGTGGTGTCTGTGGTTCATGGAACATAAGCATGCTAAGGCTGGTCAGTGTCCTAGAATTCTACGTGGCTAGGAAAATTTGAATTTCCTAGAAATAGATTCTTAAATACTGAGTTTACTTAACAGTGTTTTATTTGTTTGACTTAAGTTTTTGTTTTTCTAAATGACTGGATATATTTGACCAGGGTTCTATTTAAAGGGCTCCTTTCTGGGGACTAGAATGATGGCTCAGTGATTAAGAGCCCTGGCTGCTCCTTCAAATGATCTGGGTTTGATTCCTAGCACTCACGTGGCAGCTTATAACAGTCTCTAATTCAGTCCTAGGGGATCTGATGAGCATCTGCAGACACACATGCAGACAAACTGCTCTCGAGCATAAAATAAAATAATTTCTTTCAAAAGGGGGCTCCTCTTCATAATCCCTTTTTTACAAGGAAGCTGCAATAGCAAAGCAGTCTGCATCTGCTACATACAAGTTTACACTTCACTATATGTAAAAATCTTTTACCCATCCCATAAATATTTATTGTTCCTATAAGGCATAAGGCATTGTACAAAGGAGGTAGGATATAAATTAATAATCACCTAGCCAAAAAAAAAAAAAAACGGTTTATAGTGTAACAAAGTAGAGAGATTGGCTCATCATGCACCTTAACTAGGTGGATGTAATTCTGGGGTCAATAGTTTTAAACCACAAAGGCTAACAGCTTAGTCAAGAAAAGTTTCGAAATATGCCCTGTATGACCAAGGATCACTACCTTTTACCATGAAAGGAGAAAATGTGACTATTCAATGAAGTTCAACATACACTTTAATAATTCATGGCAGCATCAGTGCACAGGACATTCAACTAATTAGCCTCCATATTTATTTGTAGAATTGTATGGACATGTCTGTTTATTATTTACTTCCACCAAAAGTACTTACAAAACTCTGTAATACATACTTAAATAAAGATACACACAGGGTGGGCTGAGGAAATTGCTCAGAGGGAGAGTGCTCAACTAGTATGCTAAGGTCCTAGGTTTTCGAGGCCCACCACCACCCACATATACATTCTAAAAAGAAAAGAGAAAGTATGCACAAATACACGATAATCAAAGGAGATATTTCCTTGCCAAGATTCAAGAGAACAAACCTCTTCAGCCTAGATATCAGCAAAATTCCCATGTCTGCATAATCGCACATCAGTTCTCACCAATAAACACTGTGAGCTGTAACCACATTGTTTCTAATGACAAGGAATAGCTGATACACGATATTTAGTGCCTACCACACAGCAAGTAGATGCCCGTGATTTAACTAACTTTAATTTTTTCACAACCCTAAATGAAGTATTATCTCCACTTGGCAAAAGAGGAAACAGAGAAAGCAAATAACGTGACTAATGGCGGAAAAACTGAAGAGTAGCAGCCTCAGGATTCCACTTGGGGAGCTGTGCTCCAGAGTCATGTTCACAACCTCCATGTTAACCATGTCTCTAAAGAAACCACCAGAGTCAAACCCTTGATACTTAGTCACTCAACAACAACAAAAAAAAAAAAAAAAAAAAACTCTATTTTATGCCAGAAATGGATATTTCTATGAATTAAATTTTAGAAATGGTGCAGTTTGTAAAATTTTGTCTGACAACTTAATTTACAAATCTTTATATTACATAAGCATGAAGGTTGGAAAGACGGTTCATTAAAGCAGAGCACTGACCGCTCTTCCAGAGGACCCACATGGTGGCTCACAGCCATCTGTGACTCCAGTTTGAGAGACTCCAACATCATCTTACCTCGACAGTAGTACACAGGTATGAACAAAGGCAAAACAACTATGCATTTTAAACATTTTTAAAGTTATAGACATGATCCTGATGTGTGATGGTAAATGCCCATAATCTCAGCACTAAAGCAGAAGAATCACCACAAATCTGAGGTTAGCCTGGGCTACAAAACAAAACAAAGCTACAGATTACAAAGTACAATCATCCCAAGAAATGAGGAAACTGCTGCATGGGAAAATTAAATAATTTGTTTAAGGCCAAAACACTAACTTTTAGAACCAGACAACAATGAGACTCCAGAACTCACACTCTTAATAATTTTACCACGTCAGCTTTCCCAAATATTTTGTATTAATATTAAGGGTGATAATAGTGGTTAATGCAACAACCACCTATAGCTTAAGAGCTTACTATTTTTCCTTTTAACATCAACTGGAGACACTGGAACATTTACTCTTTAATATACTTTTAATCTTTAATGTTGTTAAATTTATAGTAACAAAATTGTTATTAAGATCACAAACTTCAGAAAAATATATATTGGGCAAATTTTCTCTGCCACTGGAGGCATTAAGAATAATTCTAGTTTATATTCAGATGATTACAAGTCTACTGCTACTTCACATGGAATAGAAACTATAAGACATGAAAACAACAGAAAGGGAGAGAAATGTCTTCACTGACAAGATATTGGGAATTTTGGGATGATATACAAGAATGGTTAGGACATTTGGGGAGTAAAGACACTAACCAGTAGCTATCGTGACAAAACAGAAATATATAGTTACATGTTGGCGGACACGAAATACAAGCTACAGCAACGACAACCATAGCACTGCCACAGGACTGGGAAAGGTTACACAAAAGGCTTTTGGAGAATGGTGGCTGTTTCCAGAATAAACAAACGAGAACTAGGGGTACATATAGTTAATTCTCCTCAATTTTAATGACAACTTATGCATCAAAAGTTAAGGTTTATTTGTAAATCTCCTATAGAAAAAGAAATACTAAAATAAACTTTTTAAAAGTGAGTAGATACCTTAGTACTGAAAATATAATTCTTAATATGGCAAATTTAAATACCAATTTTTAAAATTACCTCCTGCTAGTTGCTCATTTCCTTGATTTCATTGCCATCGATCTAACTCAATATGGGGAGGGTTACATTCGTGCAAGTCAGCACAGCTTAATGGTTAACCACATTTAGCTGCCAGCTATGTGCACGCTGCAAACAGCCGTGTATATAAAGTCAAGAGGTTCAGCTCTCCTTACAGGAAGAAGTAGGTCCAAATTGCTTAAAATTGAATAATTAGGACAAAAATGTACACAATTAAAATATTTCTTTTTATTGTTCCTCTAGTAATTTCATCCAGAATTGATACAGACAATTCATCATTTGATTCTGTATCTTCAGAGCCAAAATCAAGATTTGCTATGTTAGATGATGTCAAAATTTTAGCCAATGGCCTCCTTCAGCTGGGACATGGACTTAAAGATTTTGTCCATAAGACTAAGGGACAAATTAACGACATATTTCAGAAACTCAACATATTTGATCAATCTTTTTATGACCTATCACTTCAAACCAACGAAATCAGAGAAGAGGAAAAGGAACTAAGAAGAACTACATCCAAACTACGAGTCAGAAATGAGGAGGTGAAGAATATGTCACTTGAACTCAACTCCAAACTTGAAAACCTACTAGAAGAGAAAACTGCACTTCAACAAAAAGTCGGTGCTTTGGAGGAGCAGCTAATGAATTTAATTCAAAGTCAACCTGGGACTCAGGAGCACCCAGAAGTGACGTCACTTAAAGTAAGTAGAACTCATAACTATTTTCCATGTGGATTTTTAAAAATACATCTTAAAGAGATACTATTTTAAATACTCTGCCATGTGAGTAAACTACTTAATACTTTCCAGAAAGAAATTTTACTAGGAAATAAAATTTTCCTCTGTAACTTCAATTCAGTTTTGCTTGCCTAATATTATATTTGAAAATAGCTAAAATATATATTTCATATGATGATTAAATATCAGCTGAGCAATAAAGTTTATAATGTTCAATTATTATGTTACTACTAATTACTAGAGGTAAAAAAATTTTTAAAAAATTAAATTTAATACTATTCTTTCATAAACAAAAATAGATTAATACTGCAAATGGTATGTTTTAATTCCTTTGAAACATTGTTTCTTTTAGTTTAAATAAAACTCAGAAAATTTTAGAAATGGTAATTTTTAAGATAGTAACAAAAGTATATATTATTTGAAAAAACACAGGACAACGATAGCCAATGTTCACTTTTCTAACCCACTACCAGTTTAAAATTAGATAATTAAAATGAATAAAAACTTAAAAAGACAGAGAAAATTTTAAACAAACTAAAATCTGTGTGCAGAGTTTTGTAGAACAGCAAGATAACAGCATCAAAGACCTCCTCCAGACTGTGGAAGAGCAATATAAACAATTAAGTCAACAGCACAGCCAGATAAAAGAAATAGAAAACCAGGTAAGTCAGCCTACTGCTCTGTTGGATCTGCTGCACTGGCTGATGTCAACACGGGCTGTTGAGACAGCCCTCCACAGCTAATCATCTGCTTGCAAACTTTCTATGCAACTGGCAACTAACCTGTCTTGCGATTTCCTCACATGTCCTACAAAGCAAACAGCAGAGCCTATCATATAAACTGCGAGGAAAAAGGATTCATAACTGCGTGCATTAAAGTGATCCGATTGGATTTTAAAGCAGGTCCTGAACCTGTTCTGCTCAAAACCCCCACAATAGCTTCCTGTCTTACTCATCACTACCCTGAGAACCTGATCATCTTACTGATTCTATCTCACTGGCTTCCTTGCTGTTCCTGAAGCACATGAAACACGCTGCCCCAGGACCTCTGTCTAAAATGCTCTTTTTTTCAGGTATCTGCACTTCTCATATACTTTCATCAAATACAAAATGTTCAGTAAAGCTGTCAAGGCATTAAATCAAAAATAAAAGTTCTCCCAAAAGGCACTAATCCAATTATTTCTCAACATCTTTATATTTAGCATAAATATAAAGTTATTTCTTGCCTATCCCTGAATTAAACTGAAAGATCTATGAACCTAGGATTCTTTTCCTATTACTTTATTTACTAAAACCCTTCACATAAATACTGTACCAACACAGAGTAGACATTCAACATTTGAATTGGCCATGGCAATATCATATTTGGCACACAAAAGTTAATAAAGTTGGCCAAGATTGTGATCCATACTGCTGGAAAGAGAACATATTCAAATATGTTAAGCAAAGCATATAGCCTTACTGGTTCTTTTCCTTTTAATCAATGTCTCGTTTTGTTTGTTTCATTCTCTTAATTTTGTTACTTATTAAACAATATGTTTGTTTGTTTGTTTGTTTTTAGTTTTTCCGAGACAGGGTTTCTCTGTAGCTTTGGTTCCTGTCCTGGCACTAGCTCTTGTAGATCAGGCTGGCCTCAAACTCACAGAGATCCACCTGCCTCTGCCTCCCAAGTGCTGGGATTAAAGGCGTGCGCCACCACTGCCCGGCTAAACAATATGTTTAAATGTCTCAAGAACAGAATGCATATACATTCTGAAAAGCACTGTTTATTCCTATTTGCTCCCTTGTAGAGCTGGGGTCAGACCTTTATGCACAGGCTCAGCAGGCACCCTGCCACTGAGCTCTATTTCCAGCCCAGTTTATTGTTTTACCATAGAAAACATTATAAACTCAAAGACAACGTGTACATAATTGTACTTTTTGGTATCCTTACCCAGAATTCCTTAATTATATATTCAATAGCATTTTTTAAGTAGATTTATATTCTTTTATCAGCTCAGAAAGACTGGTATTCAAGAACCCACAGAAAATACCCTTTCTTCTAAATCAAGAGCACCAAGAACTACTCCCCCTCTTCAACCGAATGAAACAAAAATTATAGAACAAGATGGTAAGATAATCTGGTGGGGTTCATCTATATAATTCCCTATTTTTAGGACCTGATCTAAACTAAAAAAGTAAAAAGACATATATATCAAATACCATCATCAAATGTCAACTTAATTAGATACTGGTTTTTTAGTTTCTTTTTTTTTAATATTTTAACACTATGTAAGGTATTAAGATATGAAGCTGATATTAAAAACATGAACTAATTATTAATTTAATAGATAGAAAATGATACTGCAGGTGTAGAAAAAGAATAAGCTCATGTTTATAAGAGACTTAGAAACCTATGCAAGGGGCCTAAAGTCATTATTTAAAAATTACTTTCAAAAGCAACAAAATACAGTCATGTGTATAAAGAAAAAGTACACTTCTAAAAACTGATGAAGATTATGAAATTCTTCTCTTCAAAAATTCTGCTTTCTTTTCTGCTTAAAATCTTTTACAGATATAACAAAAGTTCCGGGGAACAAGATCTCTTATTTCCAGCTAGACTTCAACAAAACTATATATTCCCAACAATTATTCTTGTTTATGTAATTCACATAGGAAATATACCTGTTAGCTCTCTTCCTGTATGTTCACTGCTTCTACATATCTGTAGATTCTAGTTATGAACCAAACCCTGTACTGAACTTCCTCTACTTAATATTCTTACTATGCCGAACAAATTAGTAATGCCTTTTAAAATTCTCATTTTGTAGATTTTCTTTAAAATAAGTAAGTTGGAAATGTTATTTTAATGTTAGTTGGATAGTTTGCTGTCTAGCAAATATGCCTTAGCATAAACATTACTGAACATTCACATCAATTCCATGAAACAGCAACTCCATCAAGCTCTAAAAATATTCTACTCCTAAACATTACATTATTATGTTTGTTAATTCTAGACCTTCCTGCTGACTGCTCTGCCATTTATAACAGAGGTGAACATACAAGTGGCGTGTATGCCATTAGAACAAGCAACTCTCAAGTGTTTAATGTGTACTGTGACACCCAATCAGGTAAAACCTGCCTAAGGAAAGAATGGGTTAAAGTAAATTAAAGATATTCATTGCCTATTACCAAGACTAAGCTTGTTATTAATCCACTGAATATGATTATTTCTGCAAATTTGGGACCATAATAAATAATAAAGTACATTACCTTAACTATATAATACCAAATTAACAAATCACCTCCCAGCCGGGCAGTGGTGGTGCACGCCTTTAATCCTAGCACTCGGGAGGCAGAGGCAGGCGGGTCTCTGTGAGTTCGAGACCAGCCTGGTCTATAGAGCTAGTTCCAGGACAGGCTCCAAAGCCACAGAGAAACCCTGTCTCGAAAAACCAAAAAAAAAAAAAAAAACAAATCACCTCCCAAAATCACCAATTAAAACCAAAGTTAAAACATGGTCATTTTTCCCATTAATATTAATCTACTAAGAATAACTACATCCATTAACACCCTCCAGGTAGCCCATGGACATTAATTCAACACCGGAAAGATGGGTCACAAGACTTCAACGAAACATGGGAGAACTACAAAAACGGTTTCGGAAGATTTGACGGTAAAGTGATTTCCTTGTATTATTCACTTATCTGCTAATTTAACAATATGAACTGGGTGTACTGATATAGGCCTGAGATCTTTATTAACACTATTAACATATTCATTTATCTGCATATTTAACAATGTTGACTGGATAGAGGCCTAAGATCTTTACATTATTAACATTATTCATTTATCTACTAATTTAACAATATGAACTGGATGTACTGATACAGGCCTGAGATTTTAACCCTGGGGGCGGGGGACTGGAATGAAGCAGAGGATGGAAAGTTCAAGGCCAGTCTGGACCACACACTGAGATCCATTTTCGAAGAAAAAGAATATAAGTTAAGAAACAATTATAAAAATAGACAGTGGAAATGTAACAATAAACAAAAAACTAGTCTTCATAAAACTGATTGATAAATTTTACACGCTAGCAAGTACAATTATTTGTACTTATCACTAATACATGTCTGCTCTTAAGTATGCTTGTTGAAATTTAATTCAATAGTTCATGATTATCATAATGGTTATTAGGGAAAAACATAAGTGCCATGGGCTTTAGAGACTGGTAAGGCTATGAATGAGCGGCAAAGGCAGCATTGTAGGACTCTTTCGTTGATATTTTAAGTACAAGTGACATGAGGTTAAAATGGGGCAGAGCACCTGACTAGCACTACACTGGGACTGATCCCTGCAGCTTAAAGAAAGTAATAAAGTAAAAAATGAAACAGAGTTAGAACGAACAGGGGAACTGTCACAGATACAGTGTCTAGCTACTTAAATACTAATTTCAATTTTAATTATTCAAGTATTATAAATACATACTACGGAGCTGTGGTTCTCTGCGATATATTTAATGTAGAATATTCTACTCTGATCACAAAACTAAACTATAAAAATAACCAAAAGAATATAAAATAAACAGATACTTAAAATCCCAAAAACACATTATGGACTTCTGTGAATGTATAAGTATTCACTTATAGAGTGGAATGCATCTGCCATTACACCAAATTTTTAAGATTCAGTACTACTTGACTATTTTTAAAATTCTTTACTCACAATACTAGTTAAATCCCTAAAGAGAAGGTAAATTCAGTAATATTTTATAGTCCTAATTCTGAAGCACAATTAATAAAAACCTCAGAGACAGAAATTGGGGTTCAACCTGAAGGTCAGAAAAGAAAAACAGGCAGGCACTAGCTCTTCCCTCTACCTCAGGCTAAAATGGTGATCCTTCCTCTAGGAAACTTCAGAAGGAGACTGTGACTAAGAAGTCTCTCCTCCCATTTTATAATCCTCTCTAGTTCTGGGATTAAGGGTGTGCACCATTACTGACTGGCTTCTATGGCAAGCTAGTGTGGTTACTGGGATTAAAGGTCTGTGTCATTGCTGCCTGGCCTGTAAGGCTGGCCAGTGTGGCTGTTTTACTTTTCTGATCTTTAGGCAAGCTTTATTTATTAAAATACAAATGAAATGCCACTGCATAACTCTTCTAAGATTGAGTTTAACACTAAAAGACTGACAGTTCAGAATGCTCATTGATTTCTAATCAGAAACTAATTTCATTTATAATCCTTAAGTGAAGTATCCTAATTCAGCAGCAATGATGAAGTATTCATTTTTATAATTAAATAATAGTTGTATAATGATCTACCTATATAACTGCTGTTTTTAATTCTGAATAAAAAGTTTTAATTATAGAGAAAAACACTAATAACAAAACATTCAAATCTAATGTTTTTGTTAATTTCTGAGATTCTTTTTCTATTTTAAAGTAACTTTGCATTTGAGAAAAATTCTATCAGTATTATCCAAAACTGAATATATAAAAGCATTCTCTTGACTGAATGTAGGCATATTAATTAACATCCGATATACATAAGGAGGTACAAATGAGATATTACTCTATCAATGACCAAATCTTTAAATACCTATAATAATGTAGCCAATGGACAACCAATGGGTGTAGTTCAGTGGGAGAGTCTTCCCCAAGGTGCATGAAGTCAGAGTTAGAGCCCAAAACTCAAAGAAAGTAAAAATAAACAAATAAATAAAAATAAATAAATAAATAATGAAAGGAAATTTCATAAAGAGGGAAAGAGAAAGGGAGGGACAGTGTATATATCCAGACACAGACATGAGTTTCACAAAAGTGTGCATTAATAAAAGTTTTAGAAAGGATTTGTTTTGGGTTTTTGAGATAGGGTCTCATGTAGCCCAGGATAACCTTAGACAACTCTGTGTCGCTGAGGACTCAACAAATCTTTCTGTCTGACCTCCCAACAGTTAATTAATATTACAAGCACACACCACAACATCAATAATATAAATGTTTTATAGGGTTTCAAAGTAACCAAGGAGTCAGGACTAAAACAACTCATTTACTTTAGGGAATTGAAAAGAATGTTAAAAAATGTTAAAAATTGGCCAGGGAGCATGATTGTACATACCTGTAATCACAGCACTGGAGGGGCTGAGGCAGGGAGATCTCAACTTTGAGGTCAGGCTGGGCTAAACAGTGAGAGCTTGGCAAAGGCACATACAAAGACGAACGAGTCAGTCAGGACCTGATCTGTAGCTAACAATACACAGGTGTCGCTCCCCCCACACACACCTTTTCTCTTCAGGAGAATTTTGGCTGGGCCTAGAGAAGATCTATGCCATAGTAAAACAGTCTAACTACATCTTACGACTTGAGCTCCAAGACTGGAAAGACAGCAAGCACTATGTCGATTATTCCCTGCACCTGGGAAGTCATGAGACCAACTACACGCTACATCTGGCCGAGACTGCTGGCAATGTCCCCGAGGCACTCCCGGAACACAAAGATCTGATGTTTTCTACATGGGATCACAGAGCAAAGGGGCAGCTCTACTGTCCAGAAAGTGACTCAGGTATTTCATTAATACCAATACTGTTTTCTTCAAAGTATCCCCCTACAGTTTTAACTATTATCTATAATATCAATTTTTTAAAATACTAATCTTAAGTAAGTATTCTGTCCAAAGACAAAAATCTATTTTGGGTTGTAGTTTGAAGTGCTAATTCTGGTCCAGCTGGCAATTTTGAATATGATACTCCTCAAACACTATTTTGATGGTGTACGTGGGTTACAAAGATGAATATTGGAATACATGCACCTACCACATAATATAGTTTATATGAAATAAAGATATAACCATGAAATACATTAACAGCTACTAGACAGGAGGCATTATCAAATTAAATCACACATCTGTCTTCTTTAGGAGGCTGGTGGTGGTATGACGTATGCGGAGAAAACAACCTAAACGGTAAATACAACAAACCCAGAGCCAAATCCAAGACAGACAGGAGAAGAGGGATCTACTGGAGGTCTCAGAACGGAAAATTACACTCTATCAAATCATCCAAAATGATGATTCAGCCCACCGATTTAGAAAGCTTTGAATGAAATAAGACAAATTAAAAGGCCAATAAATTAAATATTAAAGTCCTCCCAGATTACTGTAGTATAATAATCTGGTATTAAATCTTTAATGGAAAGCTTGAGAAATGAATTCACTATTAAGATCAGAAACCATCACACCAATTTAACACCATTTGTCTTTCTCAATCAAACCTCCTACAATAATATCATTTGTTCATGTTTGTGATGTGGGAATCAATTTAAGATAGTGCAAGTCAGCTGGGAGTGGTGGTGCACGCCTTTAATCATAGCACTCAGGAGGAAGAGGCAAGCAGATCTCTGAGTCCGAAGCCAGCGTGGCCTATAGTGTGTGTTCCAGTACAGCCAGGGCTAAACAAGAAAACCTTGTCTCAAAATAAATAAATAAATAAATAAACAAACAAACAAACAAAAACATGGCTTCAAACTAAATTATAACTAATGGGTAAATTCTAATCATTCTTATATTTAAAATCTTGAATACTTCAACTTAAAAAAAAAGCGCTGTTTTCATGTTAAACTTCAAAAAGTGGTATTTTTACAGGTCTCAAATGCTATCTTACTAGTTTTAGAATTAAATTTGGTCAATTTAGAATACACATCTGTAATAGGAACTTATAAAATTATGCTTCATTTTGCTACAACATGGTCTGGAGTAAATTTTTAAGGCTGTCACATAAAGTTGAATGCAATGGTGGTTTTGCACCAGGCCAATGTCTACCAACACGGCAGGTCCACATCATACTGACTTTCAGTGTCAAGAAGACAGTAACTTAGAGTATATTTAGCTTATCTACACTTTGAACATTTTATATACTTCAACAGTTAATACTATGATAGTGATTTTAAGAGACATCTGTCAAAATGAAATAAGAATGAATGCCTTTGTAGCATTAAATGAAAGTTTAAGAAGAATTTTGATGGAGGAAGGTCATTGGCTAATAAAGAAACTGCCTTGGCCCATTTTATTGGTTAGAACATAGGTGGGTGGAGTAAACAGAACAGAATGCTGGGAGGAAGAGGAAGTGAGCTCAGAGACGCCGTGCTCCCCTCTCCCGGGCAGATGCGATAGCTCTGCTCTATGAGGCACATGCGATGAAGCTCCGACCCAGGATGGACATAGGCTAGAATCTTCCCGGTAAGTGCACCTTGGAGTGCTACACACCTTATTAGAAATGGGCTAGTTCAGGTGCAAGAGTTAGCCAAGAAGAGACTAGCCTACGTCCATCCTGGGTTGGAGCTTCATTGAGATGCCTCAGAGAGCAGAACTATCGAGTCTGCCTGGGAGAGGGGAGCACGGCGTCTCTGAGCTCACTTCCTCTTCCTCCCAGCATTCTGTTCTGTTTACTCCACCCACCTATGTTCTAACCAATAAAACAGGCCAAGGCAGTTTCTTTATTAGCCAATGATCTTCCTCCATCAGAATTTAATATCCATGGACATAATGTAGAGCCAACATTTTGTGTATTTTAAGTAGAATTAAAACTCATTATAGATTATCATATTTTAAAGCCTGATAGGTATGTATGTATGTTCAAAACATCTTAGACACTGACATTACAATATTGTTTCTAAAACAAAATGATTGTTTCTAAAAAGTAATTCGAACTTTAACTCCTCAAAGATCCTTGGATACAAGTATTTGCATCATAACATCCAGCACCTATTACTGTTTGTTTCAAGTATTTTGCTCCATGGTTATAAGATCACCTTGCAGAAGACCTGAGTTTGGTTCCCAGCACCTACTCTGGGGGCTCATAAGCACTGAAACTCTAGCTTCAGGGGATTCAATGCCTTCTTCTCACCTCCACAGACAAATGGACACAGGTCATATACACATCGCATAAAGATGTATCTTTTTATTTATTTTTATTTCACATGCACTGATGTTTTGGCTACATGTATGTCTGTGGAGGGTGTAAGATCTCTTGGAGCTGGAGTTACAGACAGTTGTGAGCTGCCATGTGGGTGCTGGGACTTGAACCCAGGTTCTCAGGAAGAGCAGCCAGAGCTCTTAACCACTGAGCCATTTCTTCAGCTCTAAGAATTATATCTTTGAAAAACTTCCAAAAAAAAATTCTGAGTTAGACCAAGGCTTTAAATATAAGTAGTATCCAAGTTATACTATGACTTGCCTCAATCAGTATCTAGCATCATAGCTTACATTATACTATATCATACATATCTTTAAAATCACATAAGAGACATATATGGGGGGCTGGAGAGATGGCTCAGAGGTTAAGAGCACTGGCTGCTCTTCCTAGAGGATCTGAGTTCAATTCCCAGCAACCACATGGTGGCTCACAACCATCTATAAAGAGATCCGGTGCCTTCTTCTGGAATGCCGGCAGAACAGTGTGTACATTATAAATAAATAAATCTTTTTAAAAAAGAGACATATATGGTCTGTGTGGATCCTACATTAATATTTTTCTACAGAAAAACACAAAAAAATTAAAGTAAGAAAAAGCCACAGAGTTCATAGTTACAATTCAACCTGCCAAAAATTTAGTTTGAGTTTTACAGCTGAATACCAAAATGGCTCCATGGCAAAAAAAAAAAAAAAAACAAAAAAAAACAAAACAAAAAAAAAAAACCCAGAAACCCTGGGGCACAAATGATTCAGGACACAGCACAGCAGGTGTTCCTTCTAGCTGCTTTCCTTCATTTTCTCACACTCTCAGATGATGGGTTTCATTCTGTTCCCTTTAGAAGTACCAAAATGGTCTCCCCCCACCCAGCCCCCAGAATGCTCAGACAGAGAGATTCTTCTGGAGGAGAAAGGCTTCCTCTTTGCATTTCCCAGAGCATTGATCCTGTCTCACTTCTTTGCCTGGAGATGATTTTAGCACTGACCCATGGTTGTGGAACCCAGTGGGACTTTTCCAGTCAGTCCCTTTCCCTTTGCTCTCTCTAGCACTTACTACTAGTCACCCTCCAGTACCGCTACACTCAGCAGCCCTCCCTCAGATCCACCTTCAGAAGTCTAGTCCTTCCTCTTACTCTCTGACCACCCCATCACCCTCCCCCTTACTTGTTGAGACAACAGTCTGACACTGAACTGGAGCTAGCCAGTCAAACAGCTCCAGAAATCCACCTGTCTCTGGCCCCTGTAGTAATGGGGCGGCGGGGCTACGTCCCCAACACCCCAGCCGCCTGCCCGGCTAGCTTATGCCCGAAATAACAACACACAAACTGCATTCTTTTAAACACTGCTTGGCCCATTCTCTTCTAGGCTAATTCTCACATATTAATTTAGCCCATTTCTAATCATCTGTGTGTAGCACCCCAAGGTGCGCTTACCGGGGAGATTCTAGCCTAGTCCATCCTGGGTCGGAGCTTCATCCCGGGAGTGGGGCATGGCGTCTCTCTCAGGCGTCTGCTCCCAGAGAGGAGAGCTGTCGAGACTCTGAGCTCACTTCCTCTTCCTCCCAATGTTCTGTTCTGTTTACTCCTCCCACCTATGTTCTAACCAATAAAATGGGCCAAGGCAGTTCCTTTATTAGCCAATGACCTTCCTCCATCAGGCCCCCAACACTGAGGTGCCAGGGGGGGCCTGCCATACCTGGATGTTACATAGTAGGTGATGGGAATTCAGACTCAGCACTCGGGGCTCTGTGATGAAAACTTCACTGACTGCGCCATCCCCCAGTCCCACAACGGTATTTATAAATGTGACCCTCAAATATTCTGTCTGCACTCATGGACTCTATTTTCCACGGGAAAATTCCCCAACTCTACACTCCCAACCCATAATCTGTTAGATCCCCTTCTCACACTGCTTACTAGCCACTTCTCCATCCTGCAGGTACATCGCAGTAGCCCAGCCCCTTGCAGTTCTTTTCAACTCCTCTCTAAACTTCACACCCTCTCAACTTTTATAGCCATCGGCATCACTACCAGGCTATTAGTCTGGAACCTGGAGAAGGTCTGGATTTTTCCTTAAATTGTAAACACAGCCTCTCATATCCTATAACCTTCTTTTGAAATCTTTCTGATAAAATTTCTTCTCAAGGATTGCCTTTAGTCTGATCAACTCCTAGCCCACTAATTATCAATCATACTATGACAAATTTATAATAACACATTGTGACTGTTTTGTTTAAGGCTATCTACTATAGAAATACAACATCAGTATTAAAAATATTCCTGTAATTTTCAAATTACAAGTTAATGACATGCCACATTCTCTTAAAATTTTACTGGACTCTTACTTTAAAACATAGTATCTTATTATATATGAATCATATCTCATACTCTATATATCTACCTCCATATAAAAAGTTATTTTCTCCAAAAATCTCCTAAGTAGAAGTGATGCTCCCAAAAGATGCCATATTCATTCTTGTGGATCTCACATAAGCCCTATTGCCATACAGTTACGGGACTGTTTTCCAATTAGAAGAGCAATTGCCTAAATAATGAATCCAAGGTCCCTAGCAGCTGAGCCCGATCAGTGTTTGAGGCAGCCTAGCTGGCTTCAACCATGCCACCCATCTTTCTCCGCCTCCAAAGGTCTGAGATTGTACTTATGCACCACGCCTGGCTCCTCTTTAACAACTTTACCCCAGCACAATGCTGCTCTTTTGAAATCAAAATTTATATACTTTAAAACATCCTATTAGCAAGGTGGTAGCACATGCCTTTAATCCCAGCACTTGGGAGGCAGAGGCAATCGATCTCTGTGAGTTCAAGGCCAGCCTGGTCTACAAAGAGAGTTCCAGGACAGCAAGGATGTTACATAGAGAAACCCTGTCTCAAAAAACCAAACCAAACAAAAACAAAACAAAAAAAACCATAAAACATCCTATTAGTATTTCCCTAGTTAGTCCCATCTGTCTACAATTCCTCCTCTTTCTGACTGGATTGAACATATTTCTATTCTGAGGTACAGGTAATCTTCCTTCTCCCACAGCTCTAGTAAATGGTCACTCAGTCTTCCTTGTGCAGCACTTGTGTCTATTGCCCTCAAATGGCAGCATTACATAGACAGAAAAGTAACCTAGATTATAGTAAAAATTGAAAAGCGGTAATTAAAAGGCTAAGAGCATCAAACATTCATCTACCTGATCTTAGTGAATTACTGTTAAATCTCACA